AAAAAAAAAAAAAAAAAAGACACAACCACCTTAATGAAACCTCCGCCCTGACACCACAGCCTGCCTGAGTTACGAACGCCTTTTCGAACTCAGGCCCTGACACAGACACGGATGCCTGTTTTGTCTGCCGATTACGAACTCTCATGTGACCTAAACGTACTTCCCCCGAAGGAAAAAAAAAAAACGAGTGGACAGTCCCATCCACAGACAGGTTCATACACTGACAGGTCCCACACGCACACACAAACAAGTCTCATACGCGTACAGAAAGTTCCCATACACAGACAGGTGCTGACGGTCCCACACATGGTAAATTATAATAAACTGCATCTAGTGTGACCAGAGCCCGTGAACCGTCAGATGATCAGTGTCAACGTCATCATCAACATCTGACTTCACGCTCAGACCCCCCATTTGGTGGTTACGATTTCGTTTTTCGTTTTCGCCAGAAAGCATTCATTCATTACGTAGTAACATCGAATATGAGGCCAGATCCTCACAATTTTCCGTGGTTCCAATTTTCTTCCGCCACGTGAACCATTCTTGATTTTATATTTTTTTGTTGCTGTTCCTTTTTTAGGGCCTCGCCACACCACTCTCAAAACGGGGAAATTTTTCAAGAGCTGTCAGACTTTTTCGAGAGTCGGCGCCTTCGCCACACAACACGCTCGATGGTGTTGGACAAAAAATGCAAAACGACAGTCGCACAACTTTCTTTTTTCTGAATGGTCTCAGGATAACGGTTTGACAGCTCTCGAAAATCGAGAGTCCTTCGAGTGCCCTCGGGAGGACGCTTGAAAAGAGCGGTGCTGCAGGCTGGGTTGTTTAGGAGTTTCGAGAGCTACTCTCGAAACGAGGTTCTGACAACTCTCGAAAGAGTTTTCGGGCCACAACTCTCGAGTGGCTGTGTGGCGATGGCTCTAACTCTTGAAAACCGGGTTTCAAGAGTGGTGTGGCGAGACCCTTATTTGACACGAAACCTCTTCTGTTGTGTTCTTCGAAGACACACCAAATCTATCATTTTTTTTGTGTTTTCCTATTTGAATCTGTCAGGTTATCCCCGCCATGGTAAAGCGGGTAGATTGCATATGCAAATCGCAGACAGTAGCGATTCCCAACCAGCTGTCATAATTGCAGACAGACATGCAGACTGACTCACTTAGAGATGACTCGACATATATATAAATATATACTGTCAAACAGAATTGCCCGGTTAACCGCAGGCAGAGAGGGAGAAGAGGACAACAAACGAAGGGTTGTGACAAACTGTTTCGTCGGAGTTTCACTGACTCATCAGGAGGCTGAATCCTCATCGATCTGCAGAATCCCCTAACTAATTACACTGTAAGTGATTGTCCACCTTAACCCCGCTTGTGGTGAATCATCAACAACTGTACAACAACTGATACGTTGAGGTGGGCACCAACCATCAGTCTGCTGCAGAATCCCTAAGTCTACAGAATCCCCTAACTGATTACACTGTAAGTAATTGTCCACCTTAACCCCGCTTGGGGTTAATCATCAATAACTACACGACAACTGATATGTTGAGGTGGGCACCAACCATCAGTCTGCTGCGGAAGCCCTAAGTCTGCAGAATCCCCTAGTTGATTACACTGTAAGTGATTGTCCACCTTAACCCCGCTTGTCGTTAATCATCAACAACTGCACGACAACTGATATGTTGAGGTGGGCACCAACCATCAATCTGCTGCAGAATCCCTAAGTCTGCAGAATCCCCTAACTGATTACACTGCAAGTGATTGTCC